CATCTGGACACATACTCCCGGCTTTTAAATCATATTCATAAATTATTTCATAGTTTCCTGGAGATAGGTTTTCAACGCCCCAAGAAGCAGGTAATAAGCTAAACGCACTTTCAACCTCATAGCAAACGGGTCACTCTATTGTTACATCGTTCCTGCGCCAAAGAAAACCACACATGCCCATCATTGTCATTTACCCGCAGCTCACAGTGTCGCGCCATGCACTCAAACAGTAGCTTGGCGACGAAACTAGATTCAAGAATATTCACATCAACAAGGATTTTTACGTCTTATGATTAGAGGACATAACTTGTATTCATTCTTTCTAGGATACCATTAAAAAAGAATGTTGAGAAAGATTGTTTGCAGCCTTTCCTGTTAATCACCATGTCGCACCCCCTTCCCCCCCCCCTTGTATTCAGCAGCTGTTCACTGTCAGCTAATAGAGAATCCAGAGCATGTTTTATTTTATCGAAACTCCCAAACCTAGCATGCACAGCATCAACCTATGCTGACTATCATGCGTCAGATAGACGCTTGACCGACAAATCTTTTCCTAAATAAGTTATCAGTATATTCCACCGAGGAGCAGAACCCGTACAAAAATGGACACAGACGCTGAGCAAAGTCAAAGAATTTTACAAACTGTAGACCAGAGGTTCTCAAACTGGGTGCCGCGGCAGTAATCAAGAATGTTTCCAAATCTGCCTGAGATCCTCCAATGCAGCTGTTTTAAGCAGAAATACTGAGTAGGAAGCCAAGAAGAGTAAAGGAAATGAAAAAATTATCCAGTTTCATTCATCGCATTAAAGAGAACTGAACACTAAATGTGCTCATCATCATGTAGCAGGTCCTTTGCAGAACGTCGCTTTCATCACAGTCTGCCTGAAAGAAACTCGGTCTCTCGCCAGTTCTCCCGCCTCATGCATTTTCACATTCAAGGAGTCAATTAGATCCTGTGCCCATCTTCGTGTCGGTCGGCCCCTGCCCCTCCTTCCTGGTACCATGCCTTCTGCTATAATTTTTTCCAATCCATGTACTTTTTGATTTTCTTTTCCTAATCATTAAAACTGCTTTAAGGGTAGGTGTGCCGCGAAATTGTTATTTGCCCACCATGGGTGCCGCGGCGAAAAAAGTTTGAGAACCCCTGCTATAGACAAACCTCTGCTGCCTGTGTTGCCAACAAGTCCAGACTGTGTGCAGCACAGTGGGTATAGATTAATCCGCGCTTGCATCCAAAAGTATCGTCAAGGAATATTTGAGGCATTATTGTTTGATTGATCACGGTAGTTTGGGAGAAGATTTTTGTTCTCATAAAGAAAATGAACAACAATTCTGAGATTCTTTGCTCCATAAGAAAAGATATGGATGAACATCAAGATACGTTCTACATTTGAGAGAGAAAGAGAAAACAAGGGGTGGGGGTATATTTCGGTTTTATTTTACATAGTATTGATTTTAAAGTCAATGTTTATTTATTTTTATAGCAAGACACGTGAGATACACAGATTAGCATAGGGCCTCTATACTCGTGAGGCCACTGGCCAAGTGTCCAGCGGACCTATGCGATAAGACGGCCCTGTGCCAGACAAGGGTATAGACCTGTGTTACTCAAAAACAGAAAGAAAAAAAAAACAGACGTAGATAGCAGTTTATTTGTTAAATCCGATGGCAAAAAATTATAATTTTCCGCCAATGCGGCATCTTATGATTCTCACATGTCGTTGATGTGCTAAACCTTAAAGACTGCGGTCCTGAAAAACTAAAGTTAGTTAATTAGTTAGTTGAGTCAAGAATTGACACCAGAGCACTCGGGGCATTTCCATGCGTGCTCCGTCCACATCTTCAGCAACCAGCGCAGAGCTACAATACTGACGGTACCGGTCACAATCTGGTTATAGGTCCGTCTTGCCTTTTCCTTGAGTATAGCGAGTCTGCCAAACCCTCTGGTTACACTGAAAAACTATATAGGCCTATCTACCATATCCCGTTACATGATTACATCTGGACTTTTTTAGCGGGTCAACCATTGGGCCGCGGCCCATAGGTTGAGGAACGCGGTTACTGAAAACCCGTAGGTTTGTTAATAGGTTGTAGTCGTCAAACAAGAAAATCGATGATGACTGGGATGTCAAGAAATTAACTAAAGCGGTAAGGATGTATCACATGATAGTAACAATGGAAATGCCCTATCTGGTCACGTGACTGGTAGTAAAATCTATAAATAGATCCTATTTGTGTACACAGATGACAATGGCGTCGAGCAGCAGCAGGTTGTTAGAAAGACTTCTCCTTATGTTATCGTTGATAAAACATGAAATACTGACTGTGATCTACTTTTTAGTTTTCAGATAATGTGTTACTGATTGAGTACAACGGTATTGTACTTTTATTGGTTGATGGCACGTCGTTTATCTCTAGCACGTGTAGCATTTAACCGCGGAGAAAATCGGCAATTTGATTTTTGTATTTTTTTGTGTGAAGGGGCAAGGCCAAAACAAATTATTGTTTCGATTTTAAGTCCTTTGTTAAAATGGCTGGAAATGTAATCATACAGATCTCACAATATTAATAATCACCGTTGGTTTAATAATATATCGCATATATTTTTCATGTTTCCCTGATTTGATTTTTTTTTTTTTTGACGTAGTTGAATTAAATGCGTTGTTGTCTGGTTACAATGTGACAGCACTAACAGGGCGATGAATTCGCAATCGATTTTCCGACGCCCCACCCCCGCCCCTTCCCCTGGAATTTGTTAACAATTTCTTGAGCTTGATCCACAAGTGGCGCACTTGAAAGCCGTTTGCAAGTTGACCCAAAGGGTTTGCACCTAATTCAGTTAAATTTAAATCACCACTGATTTGTATTTAAAATTATTAACTACCCTATGCTCCTGGGTCAACCATGTATTATAATAATTATATAAATCTAAACAACTATAGAAGGTACTAGAAAGTATGATGAAGTAAAGGCGACCATTACTATGTATGTTGACCACCCAGTTGCTGATGGGTTGGTCTATAAAAAAAGATCTTACCCCAAATCACCAGTTTATAAATATAGTCAATTGTGCATCTCCCCTCTGTAATCCTTCAGCTGAGTACCTCCCCACCTGACCCCATCAACCCAAAAGGCTCACGTAGGACCTTTGCATTTAGACCAGTTGGTCCTAAAGCAAAGGAAGAATTGGAACATTGGCATTTCTTCCCACCATACAAGGAGGCTTCCAGATCAGAGCCTTCAGTCTACATATTAATAATGCTCCGGTTCTGGCCTCACCCAAAATCCTGAAAATTGCAACATGGCTGTGGAGCCTCATCACTTCTGTATTTCAAACTTCACATTCATTTGTCTACCAGTCTTTCTCTCCTGCTTTTCATGCTTGTAGTTCTGCTCATGTTCTCTAAACGTCTGTAACGTGTAGTGCTATTCACATAGCTTCTTTTTCTTTCCGCAATAGTGCAGTCAATAGAAGACTCACTTTAAAATCTGGGCTGTTCCAGGGGTTTACCCAGCCTCATGTAATGGGTACCAGAGTTAACTCTCTTAGGAAAATGGAGGAACATCGCTGTAGTTATGGAGTTGCGTGAGGACAGTTTTTTATCAGCTGTCCAGAGTGTTGGCAGAGCACATATTGTTTATAACCATGTGCAATGATGCTGTTTCACATCTCCCGACTTTACCTTTTTTCTTTTCAAGGCAAAAACGTGCTGGTACTCATTATAGTGTCATATATAATTAGTAAGTGGTCATTCTCACCACAAACTGTCAATTACGGTCGTGCTGGAAAAAAAAAGGTGGCGGTACTGCACACTGTTGCCTACCACTAGAAAAAAGCCCTAGCTTTTCATCATGTCTGCCCACAGCTTTCTGTCATGTGATCTGCTAATTAATTCTTTATATAGATGTTTCTCTGCGCCAAATAAATGATGTTCTGCCCTCTCTTTCCCTCCAGTTTTGTGATCACAACATATTCCACTTCCCCCCCCTCCTCGTGATGCTTCCAGAGAATGTGGATTGCCTTCTTCTGCTCAAGATAGCATGTTCTCTTTTAATCCCAAGCAGTAGTTTTACTCCTTTCATCCATGAATGTTTAGCTTATAAGTGATAAACAGTTTGGCACTAAAGAGTTCAGCATAGACACTATGAGATGCAAGAAATTAAACTAGAAATCTAGATAATAAAGAAGGATACAACGTTCTTCTGTGATAGAAGGCAGGTGGTAAATTATAATAGTTTTGGAATGATTTAGAAATGGTGAGATTTTTGGGAGGAAAGTTATACTTTCTGTTGATTTTGACAGTGTTATGGAGAGCTGAAGACGCTCGCCTGCTGATCAGAAGGTCATGGGTTTAGGTCCTGATGGCATCAGACTTAAAATGACCTTAGCTCCCAGGTCGACCCAGCCTAGAATGGGTACCAGATAGGATTCTGGGAAGTAAAGGCTGCCCGCAGGATGTTGACCACATCACACACCAGGTACCAATTGGTCTATAAAATATAGGTCACGCTCAGTACGCCTGAAGGCATAGAAAGGGTCTTTTACTTACTTACTTATGGAGAGCTGACCAATCAAAAAGTAGTGGCAATATAAAATTGCCCAGTAAAACAGCAAACAGTCAACAGATGCTGCAATTAGTTTGTAATATTCAGTAAATGATACGCAACTAATTTTACTCATTTAGTACCAGGTTTCATAGGAGGTGCCAGTGAAGAAAAATCTGTGATTAAACATCACCGCATTGCTTTCAAAACAGAAATATAACAATAGTAGTGACTATTGGGCAAGCCAGATTTTTTGAGTGTGTTCTGACCCCCCCCAAAAAAGTAAGAGAAAATATTAAGCTATGGAGAGGATTCAGCAGATGAAGTGATTGACATATCATTCATTGTTTTGGACTCACAGAGATGAGACAAGTCCCCACTTACTTTCATATTGCATTCTTGGGAATCCATTTTAACACAGTCGTATGTTTTCACTCTATGCTTGCAAATACAGAATGAATGCTCTGATGAGCTGTAGGGAGCACCCAGATGCAATCCTCATTGAAGATTACCATGCAGGGGACATGATCTGCCCAGTGTGTGGCTTGGTCGTTGGCGACAGGTGAGGCATTGTTGTTTTTATCGTAATTTTAACCAGTTCTCTTATTCACCCCATGTTATTGGAGCCCTCACGGGGAAGCATAAAATTGTAACACTGCATCCTACCAGGCATTTCATAAGAGTAAGGTTTGGGTTGGCCACCTCATCCTGTAAAAAAAACAATAGGCCCCCCCTCCCCCCCCCCAACTCTTTCTTTCCCCCTCTCTCTCTCTCTCTCTGTCTGCCTGTCTGTCTGTCATAAAAAAGTCACACACACACACACAAAAAGAGAAACAAGCAATGTCCATTAACCAAGATGAGGGAAGACTTTTAGTAGAAGAATAATGATGCAGTGCAGAGAAAGCAGCGAGGAGTTTTGATCGTTGATGCACCTCCTTTAAGCACCCGGTTGAGGGAGATAGAGAGTGAAGTTAAAGGACAGAAGAAGAATCTTCTTCTTCTTCTTCTTAGCATTCACCAGCTGTGCTGGTTGTTCATCCATTTGGACTTTGGCCTTGTGCCAGGAACTGAGTTTTGCGTGTACATTTGTTTTACTGGCTTATTTGTGTGCCGTTCTTGTTTTCTGCTTTTGGGGCAAATGTACTCTGACTTCTAAGGAAGACGTCAATACTATCTCTAGGATGACTGTAGCCATGAGAAATATTATCTTACCAAGTGCATTTTTTTAGGGGTTTTGTCAAAGTGGATGTGTGCATCTGCTGAATGTCTTTTTTGGAGATATTATCTGATAAAGCCCTTCATGTATTGCATGGTGCAACACTGTCTAAAAAAACCATAAGAACAATATTTTTATTAATTGTCAAATCCTGGTATGTCAAGGATTCAGGTTCCAGCCCATAAGCCACCGGGCCGTGCAATTAATGCATTATGATATGGCAAATACTTTGTAAAAGGGGCATCTTATGCAATAAATCCCTGTCGTTGGTTAGAACCAAATTATTCTAATATCTTGCTTTGAATCAAATCCTTGCCAAATAATAGGCAAGTAAAAATCCTGAGGCTTCAGAGATGTGGTCCTACATTGCTTACAATTTCTTTGGCAGCCACAGTGAATAATTTATATGTTTTGAAAGAGATAAAGACATCACAGACAGAAAGAGGCAGTCATTTGTGGCCCACAGTGTGAGAAAATGATGCAACAGCTGGCATTATACCTAGTCTTCTTTGCAACAGCTGGGATTATACCTAGAGTCTTCTTTGCAACAGCTGGGATTATACCTAGAGTCTTCTTTGCAAAACCTGGGATTAAACCTAGTGTCTTCTTTGCAACAGCTGGGGTTAAACCTAGGGTCTTCTTTGCAACAGCTGGGGTTAAACCTAGTGTCTTCTTTGCAACAGCTGGGATTAAACCTAAGGTTTTCTTTGCAATAGCTGGGATTAAACCTAGGGTCTTCTTTGCAACAGCTGAGATTAGTCTTCTTTGCAACAGCCGGGATTAAACCTAGTCTTCTTTTCATTCTCTCTGCTATTGGTTTTCATATAAGGCCGTCAATTAAATCTGTGATGCTGTGCATGTCTTCCATTGATCTGTACAGCTAGGTTTCTATTGGAATGTCAGCCGGCCAAACTTTTTATCTCTGCGTGAAGAGAACATATTGGAATGCCAGTCGGCCAAACTTGGGATCTTTGTATGAGGAGAGCATATTTGTAATCTGTGGTGCATGTCCACATAGACACAGTTCTGGATCGCCAAACCTATGGCGTTTGTGTATCCTTCACAGGATGTGAGAATTTCATTGAGAAATGTTGCTACAACAAGGGCTAAGTCTGTGGTTGTTTCCTTCACAGAATCTAAGAATGTTCTTAATGACTCCAACCTTCATTCTGATGAAAGCTTTGTTGCCACTTAGTCTAATTTGTTATTTGTGATTGTTTGCAATAAATGGGAGTCGCCGTGGCGGAGCGGCTAGACGCCAGCTTCTGATCAGAAGGTCTTGGGGGCCGGACATTTTTCAAAAGTGACCTTGGCTCCTAGGTCGACCCAGCCTTGAGTGGGTACCAGGTGTAGTTTCGGGAAGTAGAGGCGGCCGGCGTGATGCTGACCACATCACCCATCTGGTGCCGTTGGTCTATAAAATATAGGTCTAGCCCTATATGCCCTATACGCATAAAGACGTGTAAAATGGTTCTTTTTTTGGGGGGTACTTTTTGCTATAAATCAACAATTACAAAAGTACATACACAGACAGCAAATTCTTAGAACTAAGAAAGAATGCCTTATGAGGCATACATCAAAAGAAAGGGACAAAGAGCCCAAGGTAAGCCAAGAACAAGATGGAAAGATACAAGATAACATTAGGGAAGCTCCGCAACAGTATCATGTGTCTTTCAAGGTTGTCAGAATAGCAAAAACCAGAACCTTCCTCGAAACCTGAAATAGTTAAAAAAAAAAAAAAAAGATGTGATGGTGAAGTTCATAAATTTGACATTTCTCATTTAATTTCACTGGTATGTTTTTTTTTAGCATTTTATTTGTTATGTCATTACAAATGTCAGGTTAGTTTTGTACGTTGGAAGAATGTAACATATTGTTGGGTTTTTTTCAGGGTAATTGATGTGGGATCTGAGTGGAGAACATTTAGCAATGAAAAGGACGCTAAGGATAATTCTCGTGTTGGTGCAGCTGAGGTAAGGATTTCCCTCTATATTTTATATTGTAAATATGTCTACTCAGTACTGTATGTTTACCCAACACTGTGTTACTAGTGTTGGCAGAGGTAGTTTTCCCTCTGGATTTTATAATGTAAATATGTCCTGTCTATTCAGTACTGTATGTTTACCCAAAACTGTGTTTCCAGTGCTAACTTGGACATTAACAAGAAAAAGGAAGAATCGAAACAACAAAAAATGAAATGTCTGCGACAAGTCCTACAGGTAACAAGAACAGACAGGATCAGAAATGATGTCAGAAGATATATTGGGATGGAGCCAGTGCTAAATAAACTTATCAAGAGACAACAGATCAAATGGTTCAGACATTTGTCAAGACTACCAGTGCTGCACCACACAGAGCCCTGTCACTTAAACGCAGCAGAAGCTGAACTCGATGGATAAATTGAATATTTGAGGCAATGAATACCAGCATCTAGACAGCACACAACGAGGCTCACAGCTGATGCCTTTTAGAACCTATGCTGAATGAAAGGCAGAACAGGTCTAGAGGAAAGAAGATATGCCAGTTTTTTTTAAATTTTAATGATTAATATCTGCCAGTGTTAGGAAACGAACAGGAAGATAAACTGGCTGGTGGTGAATTGATATACGACAAGCTGGATGTTGTAAGGTTCTTTTGGGAGGCGTGTGAACAGTGCAGAGGCAGAAATAGATCATCACAATCTGAGGAGAACGATGCTGCTAGGAGTTGCCAGGGAATATTGCCCATGCTCAACACTTGGGGCAAAGCTGAGCCGTGGATATACAATAAGACTGTTTCTGATGCAGCTGGAATTGGAACTCTGAGCTTGACTTGCAGCTGAAGATGTGGACAGAGCTCTTAAAAGAATACCCTTAATGCTATGATGTCAGTATCGGACATTCGTCTACCACAGGATATGAAGGAAATTAAAACATAACAATAATGAAGAATATAAGAAGCTTGCCAAACATGACGTCCAAGGCTAAAACAATACAATCTCTGACCAAGATAAGAGACCTGGTGGGACCTGGTAACACACAAGTGACGTTACCAACTGTTCTGGCAGAACTTCCCAAATTGAAAAACTGGCTTTGCCTGTGTAGGGAAAACAAGAATAGACCCATTGCCTACCCAAAAGCCTGTCGTAAGAGTCGACTAATTGGAAACTTCCTTCAAAGTCGGAGTGCATCTGCCTGAGAAGCAAGGAACCAACAGTCTGCAAAACAGTTAGTCAGATCTGTGAAACGGATGCAGGCGCAATACTCAGGTTGTGGAATAGGACTACAGTACAGAAGTAGACGAACAACCAGAACTTTCCGCCAGAGTTTACAGCTGGTGAACTCGAAGAAGAAGATGAACAATTTTCCGTGTTTGGTTCCAGTGCCCTGTTATGGAGAAAAAAAGAATAGCCCCACTACCCCCCTTAACAAGCTTGTCATAAAAGTAGACTAATTCAAGGCGTTTCCTTCAAAGTCGGGCCAGCATATGCCTGAGAGGTGAGCAACCAGCATACAAGTTAGCTGATAGATCTATGACAGGAATGCCTCACACAAAACTCAGGTTGTGGAACAGAACTAGGGCCCAGAAGTGTACGAAGAACCAGAACTTTCTGCTGCCAGTGTTACTGCTGGGAAGTAAAGGACCCTTTTCCACGCCTTTCATTTCATGTGTATTGGGTACATAGGGCTAGACCTGTATTTTATAGACAAAACGGCACTTGGGGCGGGGGTTTTGTGGTCAGCATCACGCCGGCCACATTTACTTCCCAGGACTGCACCTGGTACCCACTCAAGGCTTGGCCAACCTGGGAGCTAAGTTCATTTTTGAAGAAAAAAAAGGCTGTCGACAGGAACAGAACACATGACCTTCTGATCTGCAGCTGAGCGTCTAACTACTAGATCCCCGTTACAGCTGGTAAATGAAGAAAAAGAATGTTTATTTCATGTATGTTATGTCCATGCAGAAGACATTGGCAAACCACCACATTGTACTTTGCTAAACTTCCAGAATTAAATTATTCTGGTATGCAGAAGCTAAAGTCATTGTAGGGTAACATGAAGAAAGAACATCTTACGAGTATTTCATCAGCATGAATAACTTGTTAGTCCTTACAGTTCCGGTATCACAGAAAATGATCTTGGCCCATAATTGCTTAACCGCCTATGCCAGCGATTCCAGTCACAAACTGAGTCAGATACGCTGGATACTTCAAGTGAATGCCGTAGCCATACAAAGTGTCCTCAGTCAGCAAAACACATACGATTTATAAGTCTCCACATGCCAAGTATTTTTCGTAGGCATCACATATGACAGACATTAAGTTGTTTCTCTTGGTTCAACTAGGTGGAACAAGTTGCAGTATCTCTGTTGAAGTTAGAATAATAAATGAACAAAAGAAGTTTTGCTTCGAGAATAGAGAGATTGACTGTTTGAAATTGCACGCCTGTCCATTCACATCAATCAGTAATTCATTTTATGATGAAAATGTCTGGCCTCTACCACGGTTTCTTCCAATTAAACATGCTTCTTTTATGGTCATAGTGGATATTTATATTTCTGTTTTCCAGAATCCCCTGTTTGATGGTGGTGATATGTCCACGATGATCGCTACAGGAACAGCCAGTGAAGCCATGAAAGATGAGTTTGGTAAAGCTTTGTACAAAAACAGACGTGCAGTAAGTTACTGATGTTACCAGATTTTTATTTTAGGTATTTTCAACAACAAAAATCATCATGCCAGCTTGTCATTATTTCATTGTTATCTTCTTCAGTAACGTCATCATGCTTAGGTTTCTCTGCAGATTTTGGTCAGTGGTATTCTGAATCAGTTCTATTAAATATATTCCTCCATGCCACCATTTTAGACTATCCAGCATAATTTCTGTTTCTGCTTCTTTTATCACTGATTTTGTCAGTTGTTGAAATGTTCTCCTGATGCATCCCTTTCTGCCCTGATAGATGAGCAGTGCAGACATTTTGATTATGCAAATGAGATCTGCAGGTATGGTAACCAGGGGATTGTAGTTCCAACTTCAAAACAAACAGGTCGCCCCCATAGTTGCTCTGTTCCTGGGCCAACAAAAACCAACAAATTGACGGAGCTGGCAGTCTAAGCAAATTCAGCAGCATGCATGCTCATTAAATGTTTAAGGCAGCTGTCAGAAGTGCCAACACAAAAGTCGGACACAAGAAATGCATTTCATATGGCTACAAGGCTAGGGTATGTACTGACTAACTGTATCACAGAGGGAAAAGTGTGATTTCATTGTCTGTAGAATCTCAGCTAAAAGTATGTAAAGGTGAGAGGGTTGACTATATTGCACTAGGTTTTATCCCACATGGCTCAGTCTCTCTCCCCTAGGAGTGACTGGTAATATGTTAGTTAAGAATCAACATCACAGCACTCGAGACACCCCTATAAGCGCTCCATCCCCATCTTCAGCAGCAAACAGAGAGTTTCAATTCCCATGGCACAAGTAACTCTCTGATTGTATATGCGTCCCGCCCTTCCCCTGAGTGTTGAGCATCTGCCAGATCCCCTGGTAACTCCTTGCAACACCATTCTCCTCAGACCGTAATGATCTATCTGTGCCTCTGCACTTTTCACTCATTCCCAAAGGGCCCTTACAATATCTAGCTTGTCATACATCAGTTTACCACCAAGTGGTACAGAGCCAGCCAGTCAATCTGCCTGCTCATTTCTCAACACATCATCATAACCTGGAGTAAATATCCAAAGGACACTAACTATCCCGGACCTCTGAATGATGCTTGTCACTCTGCACGGAGTATACCTGTCTCCACCTTTCTCGGCATGCTATAAATCATGACGTGTGTACAGCTGATTCTCAAGCTAGCGGAAGGCAGCAATGACTGCCTCCACCTCCATTCTCAAACTAGACTTTGTGATATCATATGCATGGCTTTATTGCACTAAGCAACGTCCATTCGCTTTTGCTATGAACCCCCATGCACTTCGTCTGCCTCTCAGCACAGAGCCATCTGTATAGATAATCACATCACTTGGACGGTAATTGTCATGAATCATTTGTTGAACTTCTGATTCTGCAGCACCAGCTGGCCAGTCCCTGCACTCACAGCCTAAAGTGATTAGAACCCTACACAAGTCTGAAACTTGCTCAGACATTTTGACCCACTCCTCTCCTCGCCCAAATTTATCAAGCCTGCACACATGTCCAATTGTATCTTCTGCTTGCACCATCCAAGACTTTCCTCTTTTCAGTATGTGAACCCTTAGCTCAACCCAGGCTTCATACAGGAGATGCTTCTTGTCTGCAGCTACTCTGAGATATGACTTTGCTTGAAAAACTTGGTAATATGTGAGAGCGTTAAATAAATTGACCCATAGGGTCTCTAAAACACTTGCACAAACAACGTAACCACTTCAGTATGGAGTCCTTGAGGATGTCTGCTAACTGTTATTTTATCTTCCAGGTCAGCAGCTCAGACAGGGCCCTTATCACAGCATACAGGGAAATAGCTCAAATGGCAGACAGACTGAATCTGCCCAAGATGTTAGTGGTAAGTTGCAGACTTGATTCTTCTTCTTCTTAACTTTCTTTTTTACCATTTCATGTGTTGAGGGAGATATATGGTTCTGCTTCTTGCCATTCTGGCCGCTTCACAACCATAGACACATTATTCTTTTGTAGAGCTTCTCTGATGTTTTCTTTCTATAGGGTCTTGGTCTGCCTCATACTCCATGTCCTTCTCTTTTGGTAAATGCCTTGTATGTCATCACAAGGCATTCTCTCTAACTGAGCGAACCATTGGATTTGCTGTTGACTTGATTCATCTCAGAGCTTTAAACATTTAATTTTTTTGTGTTTTTTCCCCCAGGGAAGCGTAGCATAGATCCTCAGCCAACTTCTGCCAGGCTGTGATACTTTTGTCATCTCCTGCAACACTTGCCAAGTCCTCTCCATATTGTCTTTAACCTGTGGGGGGGGGACCCATGTAATATTTCTATGTGTTTTAAAGGATTTTTTGCCTGGAAATTTCTACATGTTATGGCCCATTTTTTTGTAGCAGTCGTGAGCAAAAGGGGGCTTCAAAATAACTAAAAATTACATCCCACAAGAGGCTGACGAGATAATATTGAAAATATATTCTAAGATGATAGTACAAAAAATATTGCTTGTACAAAAACATTTGACATAAAAATAAATATAGAGGGAAAGAATATTGTAAAGATAATGAACAGTTTTGAGTAGAAATATCCCTGACCACGCATGTTTAACTTTGATGTTCTGCATCAGTATTATTGATGATATTCCTCTTTGCCAAAGTGTTAGACCATTCAGCATCAGCTGTGTCTGTCCACCTCTGCCTCTTCTGCCGCTGATTAGTCCAGTAACTACAATAATCTTCTGTGCTTCTCTTGTCATAACACAACCAAAGAACACTCTCTCATATATTTGCTTGCATATTGTGCTGTAATTTCCTTAACCTTTTCCAGGCAGTCATTGTTAGTTATTACTCTACTTACAGCAACCAGAAGTCCCGCTTCAAGAAAAAATCTGTCTGTACACACTGGCAAACATCAGGGTGAAAGAAAATTTAAAAAACTGACAGACTGTCTGTGTCTGCAGTTGTTAGTGGAGGAAGAAGTGTGGGCAGACAGACTGAATGCATTGCGTTCTTGAGATAAAGATGTCGGAGATGATGAACCACCTGATGAAAATTGATATTAAACGAGGACAGGCATGCAGAAAATGGTTGTGATGTAAATAAAGAAGATATGTCTTTCAGCTTCAACTGAGTATGTTGACCCTGGAGACACTAAGGTGACTGCTGCATCAGAGGACAGCATGGGTGGGTCAAACATGTCGATACGGATAACAAAAAACAAGTTACTTACTCTTTGGCTGTTCAAACATTCCTCTCAGAAACCACATCTTCTGACTCTTAAGTTTTCCCCAGTTTGTTGATTGACATTCAACTATTCACTGCCATACATAACAAACACTTCAGTGCATCAATAAGTAACTTCTCTGTGTAGGTTCTGGAGCTTAGGGTCCGATAGGGAAGTGGGTGGGAGGGGGAATTGACCTACTGCCTTTAAAAAAATATTGTGAGCGGTGAGAGTTTGCTGAAATCGGTTGTCAGGGTTGTCAGTTAAATTGTGCGCCACAGTACAATGTTCCAGCTGCCTTGAGGGGGGGGGGGATGTGCAGAAGAATGTTACGACCTGTTCACTTTCCCTAACCCATCTAAACACTTTCTCAGTCTGATCTAGGTCAGAGAGCAGTACAACATTGTACTGCTTTCTTCAAAACGTTTCTGTGTGACCTGAGGCTGTGGGTAGGGGGGTTTCAGTTAGAACCAGTTCTGCATGTTCTTGGGTTGGTGAAGGCTGTGTCGTCATGTAGTATAGAACACGTGACATCAGTGGCTGATGTAATTGGAAGGAAGACAACTGACACCCCTCCGACGTAAAAGAGTCTAAGAATATGAATGATAAGGTCAAGTAGTATGTAGATGGGCCTGGAAATGTGAACAGGACCGAATGTTGATAGGTGCATGTGAAAAATGGTTACACTTGATATTACTTTACACAGAAAAGGTTGATTGCCTGTAAATTGGCTCATTTTGCTTTGACATGACTTATATGTGTCTACTCTTGCAGGACCGAGCCAGCACGCTGTTCAAGCAAGTTCACGACAGTAAAGCTTTAAAGGGTCGCAGCAATGATGCCATAGTTTCTGCATGCATGTACATTGCCTGCAGACAAGATGGTGTCCCCAGAACATTCAAAGGTTACCCCCCAAAAAAAATCACTTCACCTTCTTTTTTTTTTTTCTTTTCTGAATGAAGCGAATCCACAATAATTTTTAAAAGATACTAGCTGTACCCGGCCACGCGTTGCTGTGGCATAGTTTGGCTAAATGAAAATGAAAGAAAATAGAATTTGCACGTGTCTAATACAATCATTGTCTGCTCAGATATAGAGATAGTCTTTGATCCCCCCCCACCACCATAACTAAATCCACCTACTACTCTCTCCCTCATCAAAGGTTTTTGGAAAAGAAAGACAATGGAAATCGCACGTGTCTAATATAGTTAATGTCGCAATCATTTTCTGCACAGATATAGAGATAGTCTGGTTTTCCAACTTTAGAACACGCACCTTATAATTGTGTCTTTATATTAGTGGTCGTTTAAATGGTGTTATTAGCACAGTAACAAAAATGGTTATTTGGTTATCACATGCTAAAGCTGTTTGTATTTTTATAGGGGACGGAAGTAAAGCTACAACTGTACTTGTGAATAACAAAGTAAGTCGTAAAAAATAGAAAAGCGGAGGTAGCGTTAGTAAAATATAAACAAATTAGGTAATGAGAACTTGAAAATCACGTGTAAAGCTCTTTAAGTTCTCTTAAATTTAAGTCATTACCCCTCCCCTCTTCCACCGACTACTGCTCTCTCCCTCTCCGAAGGATTTGAAAATCATTATTGGCGATATTTTGTTGTTGCTGTAACTGACATTGACATCACTGTCCATCCGGACTAAAATGGGGAGCAGGAATTGTAATGGGTAGTGAATGGGGCTTGTGTAATATTTACCACATCATCATTCAAGTACCAGTACAACTACTACCACGACCACCACCACAGTAGCTAAAATAATGTCACTGCTATCTGTATTACCATAGGAATAGACAGATAGTCGTGAGCCAGAAGATTTGGTTCCGCATGGCTAGTGCTGTCACCACAGACTGGTCAGGTTAGGATGTATAATTTCACTTGCCGACAGAAGAACGCCATAACCTTACCGGCGGTCTTCACATAAGAGCACTATGGTGTAACAGCCCAACCACAACTATTACTGCTGCTGCTACTTTAAGTGGGTAAAGCAGTTACTGTGACTTAAAGCTCTCTCAGTTAATTGCCCCCCCCCCCCCCCCCCCCCCCCCCCCCCCCCCCCCCCACATTCACCGACAACTCTTTCCCTCATTGAAGAAGTTGGGAGGAAAAAAAAACCACTTGAAAAGCAAATGAACACAGGAAAAAAAACACCATTATTAGGAAATGAACGCTATGGTAAACAGAACAGCTTAAAATTCCAACGCAGATGAAATAACTAAATCTAAATGAAAATAAATGGAAAGCTATGAAATTTCAGCGTAACCGTGCAATCGGAAAGTTTAAAAATGCAATCATAAGTATGCGAAATGGTCAAATTTAATTATCAAATGGTTAACCCATTTACTTATAACACAAGGCAATTGTTTTCTCGTAGACAGATACTCCAGATATATTAATGAAACGGCACAACAATAGAAATCGCACGTGTCTAACACGGTTAATGAAGTTAATGTCGCAGTCAATGTCTGCGCCGACGTTGAGATAGTCCTTGATGCCCGCCCATCCCATCGAAGGTTGTTTGAAAAAAAAACAGAAAATAGAAATCGTGTTTTATATGGTTATTGTGGCAAATATAGAGATAGAATTGTTTGCTGTACCACGACCTACTCTATGTATTAGTATTAGAGAAGGCGTTGGCTGCACGTAACTTGCCGGCGAATGGTGGAAGCCTTGCGTTCTGACTACGGCGCATGCGCAATTACTAACGTGGCTATAATTAGAAATCACTAAAATTATAAATATTAGTTTCGAATATTATGGCATAAATTGTCGCAAACTATCTCTAACAATGACAGGTTGAATTTCAAACCATGATGGTTCAACATCCGGTATCAAAACAAACATATCCTGAAAATTTCAGCTAAATAGGTTTAGTAGTTTCCGAGTCTATAGAGGACAAACAAACACACAAGCATTGATTTTTATATATATAGATTAACAGATATTAATGTTATTGGCCAAAAGGCGCAATTATGGCAACTTTGCTGCAAACATGCACAACTAAATTACATCACTCGGACTGACGAAAAGAAAAAAAATATTGTTTATAGTCTGTTGCTGTAAAACACCCACACACACACCAAACCCACCTCTGCCCAATTTGAACAGATAATGGGGTGGGCGGAACAGGAAACAGTATTTTGCAGGTAAAGTTTAAATTACTAAGAGAATTAATTGATGGCAAGACTGGATGTGCACCCGAAACTCAAATTCTGGATCTAGACCAACATCCAGAAGTGGTTGAACAACCAGAACTTACTTTCCACCAGAGCCACTGCTCTGTTTAAATTATACCTTAGGGTTGATTATTAAGTAAAAGAATTATTCCTTTTTTGTTTCCATCGTGTAATTGTGGATGTTAACCAGTGCACACCTGTTTTGGTATCAACCGAAAATATAAAAAACTGTACCCACCCTTTTGGCTGTTAAAACTAGGTATTTCTGCATGTGGGTTCCAGAGCACCAAATTGAGGAGAAAAGAATAGTGCTACTGCCCCTAACATGATTGATTGGCACCTTTCCATTTTTCCAGACGAGTGTTATATTGTGCTATGAGGAGGCATGGGACTCACATCCGAGTGTGACTAGCAAGACCAACCCGCGTTAAGAAAAGGCTTCCACAATTATAGCATGGGTTTCAGGACCATTGTCTTCAATATTTATGTTTAATCTGTTTCTCCTCAGACACTCGGCTCTCATCCTTTCTGCAATCATTTCTTCCTTCATTCTCATTCCCTTCCTGATGTGCCCCCTCCACACAACACGGTGCTCCTGACAAGCATGTCATGAAGGGCAACTTATTAGGTGTTTGCTGAAATTAGATGTGTTGGACGGAGAGGTGCAGATATCACAACTTAGCTGAAAACCGCAACATGTCAACCACCCTGTTCAGGGTATTTGAAGAAGAAGAAAATAAATGTCAGCGAACTTTGTTGCTTGTTTTGCTTTTTCGTCTGTTCTGAAGCAGTTTTATTTTTATTTCGTTATTTGTAAGCATTCTTGAAAGTTTTGTTGTTTGGCCAGGAGTTTTTACACAATTCACCCTGTTTGAAAACAGAAATTTGTGCCGTGTCTAAAGTCAGCAAGAAGGAAATTGGGCGTGTGTTCAAACTGATCCTCAAAAACTTGGAGACAAATGTGAATCTCATTACCACAGGAGATTTCATGGTGAGTTTCATGAGAGTATAGTAGCCATGATTTTGTGTTGCATATGTGTATGATTTCATATGAGTGCTGTATTCATAGTTGCATGTGGATATAGTAATTATTATTTAAAATGGTTTGGTGTGAGTGCAGTAATGGTGATTTTGTGTTGAAAACTTAAATTATAATTTTATGTGAATATGTTAATCCTAATTCTTGTGAGTATTTTAATCATAATTTTATGTGAGTACTGTAATAAGGGATGCTAAATCCACAACGAGTTGGGATTTATTTTTGGCAAAATTGTCCTTGGTCAGCCCCGTCTAAAATGTCCTGTGAAGTATTGATAGCTGGTGTAATGTTGACTACATCACTGATTGAGCGCCAATTGGTCTATAAAAATACAGGTCTAGCACTGTGTGGAAAAGGGTCCTTTACTTTATTTACTGTGTGCCTGATGTGCCCAATTTTTAAAGAGTGACCTTAACTTTTCATCATTATTGCTGTCCTGTTGTGCCATTATATCTCACATAGGGCTCAAAATTTATTCCTTCATTCCACTCCACTGCAGCATCTTTGGCCTCTCTCTTCGGTGTTCCTTTTAGGGTTTCTTTTGGACTTCCTCGCTCCCTTTCCAACCAAACAGGATGATTAACCTGGTGAACGAATGCCCGATAAGTTGAATGTGATGGAAAAAGTGCAAATATCGCAGCTTTGCTGTCAACAGGCACAACACAGTTTTGGGGATAATAATAATAAGAATTATTTTATTTGAGTATAGTAATAATTTTACATGAATCCTATAATCACAAGTTCATGAGGGAATACTATGATTATATGTGCACTGTGATCATTTTTTCCCATACCATAATCTCATGCAAATGTAGCAATGTAATAACACTTGCTGTTTTAATGTTATCTTTATTACCAGCCACTACACTTACTGTTATTTGTTTCTATTTCCAGTCTCGCTTCTGCTCCAACTTGGGTTTGTCACCTGCCATACAAAAAGCAGCTACCCACATTGCCAGAAAGGCCGTCGAGATGGATTTGGTTCCAGGGTACACACAATTTTTTAACCATTTTACACTGGTCACTAACAGATTAAAAAAGAAATGTGTTCACATTAATTAGCACTTTTCTTTTCAAGAAATTTATGAAGTGGAGTGATAAACAAATCCAGTGGAGGATTAAATGGAAGCCTAAAGAAATCTATTGGATGACTTCTGAAGTGACCCCCATTCACCATGCTAGCTGAGTTGATTAAACAAACTGCAAGGCGACCAAGTGAAAAACTCCTTGTGGTCAGAGTTCACGCTTGGGGGTAGGCAGAAAAGCCACAGTGTTTCCCAGATTTACGGTATCTATCATAGAATCAAGGGCAAAGGGTTGTGATATCTATAGTCTGAGCCGAAGGGTTTACAACTCATGGTTTCTGGATTAAAAAATAACAAACAATTCTGCTATGCATCTGCTGAAGTCAAAATGTGATACCCAGGATAAAAGAAGCAGCACTAAAACAAAAATAAGCATAGTTACCTTCGTCATGTTTCCATCACTCGATCAGTTCCTGACTGTTGAACCTTTTCTTTCAGCCGAAGTCCCATTTCTGTTGCTGCAGCTGCCATCTACATGGCTTCTCAAGCATCGGATGACAAGAAAACCGCCAAAGGTATGGCTCTATGGCCAGTATTTTGTGATGGGTTAAAATATGGAGCCTAGCTGATCTGTTAAAATATGGGACCCGGTTGATGTGTTAAAATATGGGGCCCGGTTGATGTGTTAAAATATGGGGCCCGCCGGTTGATGTATTAAAATATGGGGCATGTCGGATGATGGGTTAAAATATGGAGCCTAGCTGATCTGTTAAAATATGGGACCCGGTTGATGTGTTAAAATATGGGCCCCGCCGGTTGATGTGTTAAAATATGGGGCCCACCGGTTGATGTATTAAAATATGGGCCCCGTCGGATGATGGGTTAAAATATGGAGCCTAGCTGATCTGTTAAAATATGGAGCCTGGTTGATGTGTTAAAATATGGGGCCCGGTTGATGTGTTAAAATATGGGGCCCGCCGGTTGATGTATTAAAATTTGGGGCCCTGTTGGCCTGTTAAAATCTGGGGCCTGGTTGATGTGTTAAAATATGGGGCCAGGTTGACCTGTTAAAATTTGGGGCCTGATTGATCTGTTAAAATATGGGGCCTGATTCTTCTTCTTTTCTCTGCTCCTGGAATGCCTCGTGGCAGCAGAGTAGGAAGAGATCTCTGTAATGGGCCCTTTTGTTCGCTTTGTATAAAGTACCTTTCTTTGACTCTGATACTTCTGCGTGGTTGACCTCTGGATCTGTTATCGTTGTATGTGAATAACATTGCTCTCTGTAGTGCCCTGTCTGATGCCAGTCTTGTTACATGACCCAACCATTTGATTTATTGTCTACCTATAAAGTTCAGTATTGGTTCTATGCCGATTCTCCTCCTGATATTATCGTTTCTAAGTCGATCTTTCCTCGTTACACCTAGCAAAGTAGGTAAACATTTCACTTCAGTCGTGACTATTTTCCTTCTGTCTTCTGAAGACAGTGTCTATGTTTGATTGATTGATCTGTTAAAATATGGGGTCATTAGCAGGCAATTGTACAAACCACTGTGCTAATGCAACATACAGACAAAACTACATTGTCATCAAAACAGATTTAGATGATTTTAAACTTATTATAAAAGAAATATTAAATGGATATACATGTGTAGCTTCTTAAAATGTTGAGAAAAACTTTGAATACACTTCGATAAAGGTGCCATTTGTAACTGGCGATCTCTAAATGGCATTCAGTCTCCTGCCACATCTTCTGAATCTTGTCCAGATTTGCATTTGCCGCTGAGACCCTCTCTATAAGTTGATGAGAGTGTTCCTTATTTTCTCAGTGTCATTTTAATCCTCGTGATCACATGGAACTTCAAACTTTTCTGAACATGTTAAGACACCACATGAGCAGATCCATTCAATACTTCTTTTATTACAACAACAGTTTGCAGTTTCTTATTTCTTCTTTGTTCATCTGCTGTAAGCTGCGGTGGAAAGTCCTGGTTGTTCATCCATTTGGACTTTGGCTTTGTTACCACGGCCTGAGTTTTGTGTGTGCACCCATTTTACTGGCTTATCTGTGTGCAATTGGTTGTTCCTTGACTTCAAAGGAAGCTCCTAATGAATCAACTCCTAGGACATGCTTTTGGGTAAGCAGTGGGTCTATTCTTGTTGTCCCCACAGTGGGGCCCTGGAACCCACACTTGAAGTTTACAGTTAAGACAGACCTATAAATACTTGTCACCAACTGGAAAGAGAAGAGCCAGCCAGAGAGTGAGATAAATGGAGGTGGTAGATATCTGCAGCAATGAACCTTGAAGTCTTGGAATATTGAAGAAGAGGAAGATAATAACTGTTTAAAATCCTGGCAATCAGCCTCAGTGACCTTGTATTTGTTAACCCCTTTCTTATCTTGTCTCATCATACTTTCTTGTCATTAGTATAGTTATATTATTTTGTTTCTTCTTCTTCTTTATGTCCTCTTTTACCGCTTCGGGTGTCGAGGGAGATATAAGGTTCTGCTTCATACTTTTCTGGTCATTCGACCACAGACCCATTGTGGTACTGTAGAGTTTCTCTGATGTTATCCTTCCATAATGTTCTTGGTCTACCTCTTGCTCTATGTCCCTACCCTCTTTTGGTATATGCCTTGAATGGTATAGCATCAGAAGGCATTCTCTCCAAGTGGGCAAACCATTTGATTTGCTGTCTTTCTGTGTAATTTAGTATTGGTTCTGTGCCTACTTTATCTCGTATGACCTCATTCTTGATTTTCTCTCTCATGGTCACTCCTACAGCCTTTCTCAGACACCTCATTTCCGTGGTTACTAATTATTATTTTGTTTGCCAAATGTTAATTTTGCAGAAATCGGGGACATTGCTGGGGTTGCCGAGGTCACCATCAGACAGTCCTACAAGTCCATGCTGCCAAAAGCTTTGGAGCTGTTCCCACAAGACTTCAAGTTTAGCACGTCAGTTGAGAATTTGCCCACCAACTGATGTCATGGTTGCAAGGTTTTTGGAGTTAGTTTATCCAAGGTGTGCTGGATTGCTGATTAGTAGCCCCATCCTTTGTTCTTTCTAAGCTGTGAATTGTGAGCACACATTCTGCTTCACAAGCTTCTTGCACTATCTATTTCTGTTCCAAATAGTGTTGAAAGAAATGACACAAAAGTTCACTAGAGGGTCAGGAAAGACTAACACAAATACAGATATAGTTTGATCAAAGGAATACAGGAAAAAAGTCTAAAATAAAAATAAAAAAACATGAGCTTCAAAAACCCAACAAAAAAATAATCCACTGAAATAGAAAAACATAACACTTTGAGCATTTCATTCCTGGAGCTATAATACTTTCTTTAGAGTGCTGTGTTCCTTTCTTAACTGAAGAGTGCCCCTTAGAGCTTCAAAGAGCATTTGCATGGCTATAAATGTGCGCACTCTGTCACACTTTAGAGGGAACATTGGACCCATCTTGTAAAGGGAAAATTGTATGTGTTTTGGTTTAGGAGAAGGTTTTCAGCTTTTTTATGTGTTTGCTGCACGATCCTTTATACTTTTATATTGTATTTGTGTTCACATTGTATTTTTGACAGTTATATATTGATAAACTATAAGAAAAATGAGTTCCTGAGCAAATGTGTTCCACATTATTACCAGATTTGTGCAAGTGTGTATGTGTAGCCATCTGCCTACACCGCAGAAGTGGTAAATAAAGGCAGTAATTGGCAGTTTGTGTATGTGTGGTTATGCTGAAGATGAAAAATTGAGAAGTGACATCACTGCACCCGAGGCATTCCGACATTTATTCTTGCCCCCTTCCACAGAAGAGTTGAATTTAGAATCCACATTGCAGCACTTGGGACACTCCCATAAGTACTCCATCTTCAGCAGCAAGCAAAGAGTTCCAATTCCGATGGCACCAGTAACCGTCTGATTGTCTCATCCTTCCCCTGAGTGTTGAGCGTCGGCCAGATCCCTTGGTAACTCCTCACAGCGCCATTCTCCTCAGACCGTAATGATCTATCAGTACCTCCTTGCACTGTTCACTCATTCCCAAAGGGCTCTCACAATATCTAGCTTGTCATACATCTGTTCCCCACCAAGTGGTGCAGAGCCAGCCAGTCTATCTGCCTGCTCATTTCCCAGCACACTGGCATGACCTGGAGAAAATATCCAAAGGATATTCCACAGAAGAGTTCAAGGAGTTAATCAGTAATGACAGTTGCTGCCTGTCCTTCCACAGCACAATTAAAGCATATGAATACATAAGAAGGGGCCATGTTATAATCTTATAGTCCATTCATACCCTGTTGCTTTAATCGGTGTGGGGTGGGCATTGCGAATGAACTTTGTAATTATGTAATGCCGGGTTCAATCTTAGCTGCAGGTAATTTGGTAACAGATCACCTTGCTTTGGTCTCAACCATGGTATTGAGAGTGGACTGTTACGTAAGCAGTGGCAAACTACTAAGCGTAAAATTATGTAATGAAATTACACACAGCCAAAAAGTGCTGGGGTTGGTTCTGCAAAGGACAAATAACCATTTAGTGTCCTGTTCCACATTCACTGTTCATGTCCATAGCAGATTTTGAGCTAACTGGGGCCATGTTTCTAGGTCTTTCTAGCGCTTGTCTACTTCGACCATCACCAGCCTGTTGTTTTTACATATTTAAGTTTTTTTCTCTGTTCCTTTATGTCCACAGCTTCTTATCTCGTTTTTCTGTGCCTCCATTTATCTCCTCAAAGTTTTTGAGAGGACATCTTCTGTGTACTCTGTCTAAGGTGTTGTATAACTTGATATTAATTTCTTTAAGGTTGTTTTTATACTGTCATTCCATATGTTGTGTAGTCTCCTACTTGCTCTATGTTCATTATATTTTTCCAGTAAGTTCTCTGTGGCACTTGGTACCAGGGCTTTGTTCTGTTCTCCACTGGTCTTGGAAAATAAGGTATTATCTACCTGGAGCTCAGTAGTGATGTGGCTGTACAGAACATGTTTTATATCGTGGAAACAAAATCAAATACACAGGTTTTAGAGATGCACCAAATTAGAAGTATGAGGTATATGCTTGGGCTGACATTGGTAGAGTCTCGACTGTTACTGGTGCAAGCCAAGACATATGTGTGAGTTACCAGTGAAGAAAGACATCCACTGCATGACAGTCTGAAAGATTTGAGAGACGATCGTTTGAAAGAGGAAAGTCATGGATGGCACTAGCTGAAGATACCATTGCGACAGAAGACTCAATCGAGCAAATACATGTACACAGGTTTTTAGAGAGACTGAGATAGATTAACGAGCTGTGGAAGGAAATAAAAAAAAAAAAGATAAGTGACTCATTAAAAATGACAACAAATAAACCTTTGGAGGAAAACATGGAAGGCAGGCAAGCTAGTAGTAGATAGTGATACAAGTGGGGAGGATAACATAAAGAGATAAAGGATAGTGTGTACAATCTGGGTCAACCTGATAATGATTCATCTGGTGCTGGAATAATACACTAGTGAAAAACTGGTTTCTTGCAGTTAAACTTTGTTGAATAGACATCCACATTTAAAGTGTGTACTGTTTTCTTTTGTTTGCAGTGTTTTACAAATTTTTTTTTAAAACTTTCAAAAGAATGTTTTCTAACAGTTAGGAGACAATTTATTGCCTGTCCTGTTTTGCTCTGTTAGACGCTTTAATAGAAAATTACGTCTGTATATATAATGAAGCAGAAAAATTATATCCTTTCCACTTAAATACATGAGCCACATAGTCTACTCACTGCCCGAAGTTTGAGAAAATCAGACGACTGTCACAACAATTTCAGATTTATCACATGCTCCTTTTGTTTACATTATGTAGGATTGATCAGTATGTCAGATGTGCCAGATAATAAATTGTATTCACATTATTAAAATTGTGTGTTTCACTTTGCTTTTCACATTTAGTATGAAAGTTGTAAAATGAATATTTAACTGAAGCCTCAGAGATGTAGTTTTACAGCAGAATGCGTACATTTCCTTGTACGGCCAAAATGAGTAATCCAGAGCCATGGCCAGCCTCAGCAGTAAGGCCAAACAGCTAAAAAAAAAAAGGTACCTGAATTGAACTACGGTTTAATTAATTTGCAACATGTGTTAATAAATGAATTATCATTTTGAATGTAAATAAGTGTGCTATTAGAAAACAGAATAATAGGGGGGAAAAATAGCCCACTTATTTATCTTCAAAATGATAATTTATTCAATAACACATGTTGCAAATTAATTAAACTGTAGTTCAATTTGTGTACAAATCTACTTGATAACAACGGTGAGAGGCTATGCCAGCCTCACAAAAATGGGAATTCCTGTTTCAGCTGTTTGGCCTTATTGCTGAAGCCGGCCATGTCCAGAACTTATCTCAGCTTGCACGCTCAGTGAGAGTTCCTTGCCCTCCCATTTATGCCGCAGCCGGTCGCACAGCCTGTCCTATGTTGTATGGGTGTTATAAGATGGCTTATAAGCGTTCGCTCGCCGTATATTATGTTTGTGGAAGGTTGTGTAATTCTCTTTGAGATGCCTGTGGGAAGCACCGAAAGTACGACTGTTCTTGAGTATTGAAACTGGGATGTTTTTAAATTTCTATGTTCCTTGGCGGGAGCTTTCCCCCACACCCTTAAAAAAAAAAAACCACTGACAAGGAACAAAGAAATACAAAAACATCCCCGTTTCAGTACTCCTGAACCGTCAGGCAAGTTCTACAACGTGGAAATGGGAGGGGAAGGAACTCTCGCCATGCAGGCAAATCAGTAAATCATTTGTTTTGAAAGAGGCCCAAAGAAAACTTGTCACAGCTATCCAACACAGTCATAATTCTTGGTGAGAAGGCAGAAACGTGTTGTGACCTCAGGAAAGATTTGTGTAAGGAGAGACAGAAGGAAAACAGCGCAAGAAGATTTTTGACAGTATTTCATCATCACACACAAGCTGATACATGGTTGTTGGAAAATGGCAGGTTGTCTAGGGACATGACAGCAAGGCCAGATAGTTCAATTCATTTAGCACCATGAACTTGGCATATGTAAGTCAGTTCCTTCTTGTAACCAGAACTCAAGTTCTAATCAGGTGTCACTTTAATTGTCATGTTCATCATCATCTTGCTGACTGGCAAAGGCGATACTGGTCTGCTTTCATTAGCTTCCTTCAAGCAATCCTCTTTACCAGAAAAACCACATCTCTGTCGCTTTTAAGTTCTTTCTAATTTGTGCATTCACATTCCATGATTGGCTTCTATACAGCAATTTGGTTCTGCATAATATTTTTAGTACTCTCTTTCGGACATCCAAATAGATCTTAGTAAATATTATTTACAGTGGGTTATGTCCCTTTAGTCCTAAACAGTAATTACTTTTAGTCAGGGCTTTTCTTCTAGAGAAGAAAAGTGCCAGTACTCACCACAGTGTTCAAAAGGTGCCGGTGTGACCACAGAGTGTCTACTACAGTAGTGCTGTAAAAATTGATACCTGCTACACTTTTTTTTTTGGGGTCGAACGGGCCTTTCACAGGGGTCACCTAAGACCATCGGAAAACACATATTCATTGAAGTTATGAAGGAAAATAATTGTCTGGGGGTCACCACAACATGAGGGAACTATTAGAGGGTCACGGCATTAGGACGGTTGAGAGCCACTGCATTAACCGATGTATGCGCCTTTGCCTACCGCCGGGAATATAGGCTTGCTTTTACTTTGTCTTGTCTTGTCCACAATTGCCTCACAGCGTAGTGGGGAGTCGCAGTTTTCTATCCTGGGCCAGGTGTGTTGCACGTGTTGTTGTTAGTCCGTGTTGCCTCATGATCTCTGATATATTGTCTATCCATCGTACTCTCGGTCTGCCTCTTGCTCTAGGGCAGTAGTGCTGTTCGTTGTATGCTCGTAGAGGCAGTTGGTCGGTTTGCATTCGCATCAAGTGGCCAAACCACTCTATTTGTTGCTTCTTTATGTATTGCAGGCATGGTGTGGTTCCTACA